GGGCTTATTCCAGTTTTGACAGCACTTAGATGCTCTGATGTCAGATGCCAGCATAACAATTCCAGTGGATGGAAGAATTGCAGTGAAAAGGTACCTTTAGGAGGCACACCTGAGGCTTTTGTATAAAGACCTAATTACATTCCTAGTCTTCAAAATGTTCTGAGCTAAGGTTTGGGGTTAACCTGCAAAAGACAAAACTTGAGTCCCACACATGTTTTTAATTCCTTTCCAAAGCACCCCATCCTTCATGGCTGGCTGTCAGCCTTTCACCTGCACAAAGTTTCAGTTACATCAAAACTAGACTAAAAAAAATGAAAGAGAAATCCCAACAGTGAACCTCTCCCTTCTGACTTTAGAAGCGCTGTGTAAGTTCATCTCTAAGATTGTTCAAAACATTAAACCCCCCCCACTTTTTAAAATTCTTCAACTACCACTAAAATTACTTAAACCTCTTCTTTGTTAGGAGATGCATGAAAAGGTGAAGGGCTCTGTTTTTCTCAGCTGTGGATAATGATTGAATTGAGTGCAGGAGTGAAAGGCAGCACCTGGCTGCTGGTGAGAAGAGGGACAACACTAAGGAAGGTTAGAGAGAGAGTGTTCTTGCGTAGTGATAGGAGTGAAGACTCGATTCCCTTTTCTGTCTCAGATTACTACGAAAACAGAAAATTTGTATCCATGAATAGGGGCATGGTTTGAGCTCGTGTCCAGGAAAGTAAAAGAGGGGCCAGTGAGAGGGCTGATGTTTACTGCTATGGAATTACAGCCGACTGCCTAAAAGTGATTTCAGTCAAAAATCGGCTAAAATGAAGTGCAAAAGGTATGTTACTTGTGTTACTCTTCTTTTCTATACCTGGTTTTGCGTTGAATGAACTTTGTTTTTAAAAAATATATTTTGAAATGTGATTAGTGGTGAATGTCAGTGAAATTTATTGTACTATTAAAATCCTATTGGGTCTTTGTTTATGAAATGTATTTTCCTGTATTTGAGGTTTAGGGAGGCTTGATAATGAGGCTGTGAAGATTCATGGCCCCTTTTCTGCAGCTTAATTTAGGCTCTATATCAAATATGTAAAAGAACATTATATCTTCCTGAAGCCTCTTTGTGTGATACATTTTGTATTATTTCCCTGCCAATGTTATTTCTTTTACAAACGTAGAGATGGAAAATGGTGACAAACTGACAAGCTTTGCTTTCTGTTATTTTTCTGGGCTAGAAAGAGTAGATCTGAAAGCTCTTGTGGTTATAAGTTTTATTAAGGCGAGACATGCCCATGGTCACATGTTTACCAAAGATCACATTATTCTTGATTTAAAGCAATAATGGACAGCCAGCAGTGCAGTTTGTGAGGAGGTGTTCCAGAGGCCCACTGTCTCTGTTGCCAGCTGAGAACTTCCACCTTCCAGTGTAGGACAGCTGAAGATAAACGTTCCCATTGGAAAGCAGCATGGTGCCCCCAGCCATATGGCAGTGACCTGGCAATGAGCTTTATTTAGCTTTAGAGGCATAGCTGAGGGATGCTCTTGTCCTTGGCTGTAATGAACTTAGGAGAATGGTGATTATAGTGGAAAGGTGTTACTGAGATTTTCACAGAGTTGGTTTGATCTGCTCAGCAGCACTGATCACCAGCAGAATCATCTGTCAGTGGGATAGGCATGGCTATGGTAGGATCAGTCCCCAGGTGGTTTTGGTTTGTTGCACCAACACAGCATCTCTCTTCCAGGGAGTCATTACAGTGTATGACTTAGGGAAACACTATATATTGCTCTTTTCCATAATTTGGGAAGATCTTTAACTCATGTTTTCCTTGTACCATGGATTATTTCCCTCTCAATGCTCAAATCCTCCGCAAGATCCAGGTACACACAGAGTTGTGTGTAGGTGTCTGTGGACACAATTGCTCTCAATTCTTCAAACACCCTATTTACTAACTTGGTCAAATGGCTGTCTCTGGCCATAAGCAGGAGAGAGCATTTCTGAAGGATGGATAAATTAAAGAATAGGGTAAGATGTTCCCATTTGTTACAGATGCATCCTTATGAATAAGAGATGCTTCCCATGAATGTTGGTGTAATTGAAATTAGAACCCTGCCCCAGCAGTCTGTAGAGAAACTGATAAAGATCAATTTTGTTACCTCACTGAAAACTGAAATATCATAAATTGATCTCCTCTTACTTATATGATAGAAACTTCGAGTAATCCCATTGAAGGCTGGGGAATGGCATATGTAAAATTCTTGTTCTCTGATCAAGCCCCAGACTCTTTGGAAGCAAAAGCTTTCATTTGCCGGCATCTTTCAGAATTGATAGGAACGTTAGGGAATGAAACCATCAGATCCATCTGTAAGATCTCTATGAGTGGTACATCCCTGCTTAGAATTGTTTCAGGTGGTGTCTTTGAATCCTCCTTCTGTTGTGTTTGAGATGTTTAGCCAGAAAAAAACCCAAATCTTTAGGGCCAGGCTTTGCTTTCAACTGTGTCCTGGGATGTCAAGAGAACAAAGCTCTGTTAATTGTTCCTCATTCAGGATGCGTACCATGGCATTATAATACTCAAACAATATTCATTAGGCAAAACAATTGCAATAATTATCTTATAAAAAGTCAGGCAGGGTAATTTCTTTTAAAATGAGGATAATCTCCAGAGGAGATTCTGCTCCAGTTTTGTTTTTGTTTGTTTGTTTTTGGCTGAATGGTTTTAAATAGAAATTACTGAGGTGTCAATGACCTCTGGGTTCAATTGAATTAAGACATTTAAATGAAGTTTAAGCAATATTGGTATTTGCTGGGAGGTAGAAAATTGTGTCTGGGAAGCATACTGTGCATTTTGTTCTGAAGCAATGGCCAAAAATCAGGTGGTAGAGGGCTTTTAAGCATTTCAGTAATGCCCTTGAAATTTGGAAAATGAGATCTCCTCCTCAACCATCCTCAGGATGTTCTGGTGTTTGATGCTTTGAAACATGGCAGGGTTTTTTTTGTGTGTCTGTGGGGACTCATATAGGCAATGAAAAACAGCAATAACATTCCTTCTCCTTAATTGTCTTTTGCCTCTCACCTCTAATGTTTTTCCTGAGTATTAGCAAAATCCTGTACCTAGGTCTTACAATGCATGATCAGCACAGAAGAAGGACATGCCAGTAGCTAAGTATTCCAAAAATCAAAGAGTCATTTTTACTGGACACCATGATGATAATTATCTTTCAAAAATCAGGATCAGTTCTAGCAAGCCAAAGTTCTCCTTCTTTGGATTCAGTACGGTAGTTTCCAGAAGACACCAATAGTACTGTGAGATTAATTCAATACTAGGATGCAGCTGCATTGATCTTTCTGATGTCATTGCCTTAAATTATTATAGGATACAACTAAAAAACAGACCTAGAATATATATGAAAAAGGACATGCTCCAGAAGTATTTCTTCCAATTCTATAATAATGAGTTAGTAAACCAAATCTTTGCTTTGAGAAATCTAACTTAATTTCAGTTTTCAAAAGATTCAATTTTTTTTTTTTTTTTAATTTTAAGTCTGAAGGGGGTGGGTTGTAGCAAGAAGATTGATTACTGACAGAGAAGGCTAGAAGCTGATCGTATACTCTCTTATTCAAATTCATGAATAATTTTCACTTGTACGAATTGCCTGTTGGAGTCCATAGCACTTCTTATGTGAGACAGGATCACTCATGCAAATAAAGGTTTACGGGATGAGGATCTAAGATGTGTTATTACAGGGTCATTTCCTGATACACTCTTGCCTTTTTTACTTCTTTCTCACTAATTTTATAGGTTCTCTTCTGCCAGGAGAGGTTGTTGCATCATTAGTAATGGAGTTTATTATTCCTTTTAATATTTGAATTATGTCTGAAAAAGCTTGAAGGTGTATTCATTTCTTTAGGAGCATTAATATTAAAAGATGCTACAGTCTTTGAGTTATACCGTATATAATTTTAAAATAATTTTGGCGGTTTTTTCCCTTCCTGCAACTGAAGCCTTTACCGTTATTGGACTCTGATTTACAGTGACGTCATAGTCTTTTCAAAGGCAACATTACTATGTGACTGGTACTGAAATGGTACAGTCAAAAATAAGCAGAAAGTAATTAAGGAACAAAATTATTACTATAGAGCAGACTTGACTTGTAGACCAAGGGCCGTATTCTGCTTGCTTTACTTGAACAAGTAGTCGTGGTGCATCTCGTTCAGATGTTCAGCTCTAGCATAAACCCAGAAAAAAGCTCACATGGAGTCACCATTGTGACTGAGACTAGACTCTGAGACAGAATTATGCATGTGTATGTAGAGGGAGGAAGAGATTGTACAAAATATTCATTTAATCTGAATATGTATAGGAAGTGAATGAATGTGTAGGGCCAAATCCTGCTCTCATTTACATTAATGCAGCCCCACAAAGTCTGTTGAGGGTAGAATTTGGTCTGACATTAGCACAAACTAACTTTTACATTTGCCAGATTCTTATTTGCTCACAGCATGTGGCCAGCCAGAAATATAAATAAATCAAATCTGTTTCTAGGAAGATTCCAGCAATCCTTTGAAACTTTCCTTCTTTGCATTACAAGAAAAGAAGGGATAGAAAAAAGGGGAGAGGATGGAGGGTTACATAAATGAGAGCAGGTGCGGTCGTGCAGAAGTAACTATTCAGCATATGTAAGTGCAGTTGGAAAATCATTGTCTTGCAGAGAATACTTGAAATTGGTCCCTAATGGCCTTGGTTTTTGTCATATGGTCTTGATTATCAGGCTAAAATTGCATTGCCGATGCCTTTAGTGTGAACGAGATGGATGAATAATTATTACGTGCGCTGAATACCTTTCTGCAAGGAGGAACCAGGACATCCCCTGGTCACTGCAGCTACCATTTCACCTTGTTGTCAAGAAAACTGCAAGTGGCCAATTCATCACTTCCTTATTGTTCTTAAAATATATGTTTATAATAATAAATACTCATACCTGCACTAAGAATGGGCAGTGCAAAACCTCAGCATTGTGAGGAAGAGCTCAGCGTTGTCAGACCGGTTATTTTTGGGACTAAGGGGGTGCAAACACCGAGTGCCTTACCCTGTTTCTAAAGATCTTGCTTTATCTTTGTATTCATGCAGGTCTCTGCAACTATATTAAGGAGCAAAATGAATTTCTAGTGAATAAAATAAGCACATACAAGATACACCAAATTAGTTTTGGCGTCTGTTCAGAAATTAATTACCCTCTTTTTCCCTTTTAGCTGTTAAAAAAGGGACTCACATGCTGCCTGACTTCTCTCTGTCTACCTTTGTCTCCATTACCAGTTACTACTACAGTAACAGAAGTATTTGTAATGAGGTTAACAAAAGTCTTATTGCTATCACTAAGTCTCTGTGGTATCAAAAAGATCTGGCACAGGCCCCTCACAGAAAGGAAAATGGGATGGTAAGGTTCAGAACGACTCTGAGATCCATGACCACACCGTTCGTTCATCACTTGAATATTTTCATTAAATTATGGCTGGGTGTGACTGCTGCTTACTCTCTGTGCAATCCTTTGCAATACTGGCAATTAGTTATAGGATCCACCAGTTCCTAAATGATGCAAGTTTAGCCACTAATAGAGCACAACAGCCTGCATTTCCTCTTGGCACCTGATCAGAAGGATTGCATGTGCACAGGGTACGAGTGTTTCAGGACAAGATTTCCACTGTCTGAAGGTTTTTCTAATTAATTGTGTTGCCATGTGCCATTAAAACCCTAATGAAGTGCCTAAAACCAGTTTTGATTAAATAATCAGACAGTCACCCCAACTATTCAGATCTATTGGTTATCTCTTATCAGTTATTTCAGAAATGACTACCTATTATGGACCTAAAAAAATGTGCGTGTAGCTTAAATTTGAAAAAAAAAAAGAAAGAAAAAGGTAATAAAAAATCACATTTAAGAGAATGGGTTTTAACTCTGGTGTAGTATTGACTATCAAATTCTCCAAATACTCTTCTTGCATGACTAAATTAATCATTGCAAAACATTTCCCTTGAATTTACTTGTTCTTTTATACCTATATTACATATGGCTATACTCAAGTGTGAAGCATCCGTCCACTCACATGTGTAGCAAAGTAAGGTTAAATATGATCCAATGATATGGATGATGACTGATCAAATTAACATTTGAATTAAACCTGAAGACTGAAATAAAGTGCAGGCTGCTAGTCTCAATTTTCGGTTTTCTCCCATTAGCTACCCCAGGTTGTTGCGACCAAAGGTGGATTTCTTGTCCCCCAAAGTACCAAAAATACCTAAGGAAAAGCCAAGTGAGCTGTCTAAAGTAAGTACCAGAACAGGATGTGAGGATTAGGACTTCACCCAAGCTTCTGTGTAGCCCATGAGCACTTGCAGTAAGTTTTGGGTATTTGCCTGGCTCCCCTTGCCTTTTTAAACCCACTAAGAAAAGCATCGCTCAAGTGGAACTGAACCACTGACTAATTAAATCACCTGAAGGAAGATCTGATGGTGAAAATGAAATGTTCTGCATTTTTTTGGAGATCTAGTCTACACGCATAGGTAGGATTCAGGGGATCAGAATCTCCCCTGTAATACCTCATTTATTTCTGTTGATCCTGATCTGCATTGGAGCAGCCTCTGGCTCTTCTGAATACCATTTTAAAAGGCTTAATCTGTACAGATAGTGGACATCAGTCTTAATCTGAGACTGTGATGGAATTTTTTTCAAGATTGGACTTTTTAGCTCTCACAAAGGTCTTAGACTCTTTCTGTATCATGCAGTGTTGCAAAAGGTCATGCATTTCATAATGTTCTCCACTGCAATCACTGAGCTGCTCCAGGGTGTAGCCAGAGTTCACAGCTATGAGGGTGCAAAGAGTTACTGCCTATCCACATGCGTTGCTTCCTGATGAACTCGCTGTGGTAAATTCAAACTGTGCCTCTCGGTAAAAATTACTGGAGTCATCTTGCTATGAATAAAATTCTAACCATAAACATAAGGGATATTATTATGTAAAAGGATGCTATTGATATTAAGAAAAAAAAAACATAATAAACAACACAAAAACCCTAGAGGCTAAAATTTGGTAGTTTATCATGTCTCAGGGTTTTCTTTTAACTTTCCTCTCTAATTGAAAAAGCTAAATTGATTGAGGCATTTGAGCCCTGATTTAGCTTTTAAAAAAAGAAGCAGAAGCTAAAAATGGCTCAGCGAAGCAACTGAAATGCTATCACAAGCTCTTGAGATCGATAAGCTAGGGAAAAAAAGGAAGAAGAAAAGTTTTTGAGTGACAGTGTAAAAATGGGAAATTTAAATACATCTATATCGTTGCATTTTGCACCATTGTGTATTGCATAAAATACACTTTGGCAGTGTGTTTTCATGCAATCTGAAAGGTGATCTGTTAGTAACACTGGATTTGTGTTTATGTTCCAAATTGTAAACTACATTTATAGCAGTATTTCTATATTAAGGTATTGAGGCTAGAAATGCTACCTAAGCTTAACTTTACCAATATAACTCAAAATGTAGTTTATAGCACTATAAATAGTAACATTGATATTGACACTTAAAGCAGTATCTAAGTCCCTGGAAAGCTGTTTCTGATGCTAAATGAAAATGCAGGGAACTGACAGTGTATTTATACATATCAGGGAGTACAAATAGTACTTCATAGTTGTCATTTTTGAGAATCTCTTGTGCTAAAGAGTATTTAAATATTTAATGGCATTGCCAAATATTCCAATTTAAAAGACAGTGTTTGCATGTATATTAGATACATGTTATTACTCATGTTATTACTATTTATAATAATGCTAATGTCATGCATAAAAATATTTAACAACAGCCATAATGGCTATTACCTGCTGTTGGGGACTGGTCATTCATGATGGTCTTTGACTTTGTTCCTTGCCTGTGGTAGGCTTTTTGTTGTTGTTGTTTGTGGGTTTGTTGGTTGGTTTTTTTTTTTTTTTTTTTTTTTTTTTGGGGGGGGGTGGTGGTGGTGTTTTGTTGTGTGGGGTTTTTGTGCGGTTTGTGTTTTGGTGGTGTGGTTTTGGGGGGTTTTGTTTGTTTGGTTCTTTGGTTTGGAATTTTTCTTTTTTTTTTTTGGTGAATTTTTTATGTGGGGTTTTTTTTGTGGAGTGGTTTTTTATTTGGTTGGGGTTTTTTGTGGGTTTTTTTGTGGGGTTTTTTGGTGGTTTTGGTTTTGTGTGTGTGTGTGTTTTTGTTTGGTTGGTTTTTTTTGTTGTTTTCTGGATTTTTTTAGAGGTCGTCTTTTATCTCTGAAACCTCTGGGAACTGCAACCACAACTGCTGGCTTCCCCAAACCCTTCTTTAAAGGAAAGGCCTCTGATAAGGAGTCACTTAATGGCTTAACCTCTCCTCCTGAACTACACATGGCAAGCTGCTGTATGTGTAACTTTATATTGTTTAAAGAAAGAAGGAATAAGGGGGATCATCAATTCACCAAAACCGGATTTTGGTTATTCTGATAATATTAAAAAGTTAATCCAATTTTTTTTTCTGGACTTTTAATTTAGAACAACAGTGACAAGTTATATCTTTTATGGAGTTTGTGATTGACTGTCTCCTAATTTTAGGCATTAGCTCAAAGCTCTTGCTCAGGACATCAGAAACACAAATACAATTCCTTTTTCTTTCTCAGAGGTCTTGAGGTCTGTTCTCAAGTGAAGACCCTACACAGTGTGTTTCTGAAAAGGAAAATTTCTGAAGGTTGCGTATAACAATCTATCCAACATGCAGCATCTAAAAAAAGTATCTGCTGAAATGCAAACTAATTATTCTCAGTCTTTCACGCTGACATTTTTACTGGCACTGGCATAAAACGGTTTATGTAATTTTTGGCTATATTGCACATGCTGAGTATGACAAGGATGATGTTTTGTGGTTTAGAGTTCTAGGTTTTATTCTCAGCACTCCTAGAGAATCGCTGTTCAAGTAGGGACAAGTTTATTTACTGTCTTGTTTTCCTCATTTCTCAGTTAAATATGATTGCTTCCTTTGATGATACCTTTTTGGTATTTTGGTGTATTTTGGATTACTGTGGGCCTCGTAAGAGGGGCTCAAAAGTATAAATTATTTTATCTAAGGTGGATGTGTTTGTTATGTGTGTATGATGTGCATGTGGGCCTGTGTGTATGTTTTGTATTAGAAGCATTATATATAAGTTCATCTAGGTTTATGACACATTTATACTATGGTAAAGAGTACAAAATGCAATTCCTTTACTTGGATAATAACTATCATGCCATAATATTCCCTTTCAAAAGGGTATTCTGTCCACTTTAACAGAAGTTGGAACTATTCACTTATGTGAGCCAAATTACACCCTCGTAGAATATTTAGTACTCATGTCAAGCTGACTTTATAATTTTCTCAAACAAGTTTATGTCCTTACCATATTTATTCACTGGAAATGAATTAGAATTGAAGGATCTGAATGTCCCATGTTGTCCTGAGAGGCAGAGACCCCCCTGAGATGAAAAAAGGTGAGAGGACCCACTCTCTGTAGACCTCCTTAAGTTCTGGCACTTGACTTTTAAGCTCTTCTGCTCCGGTTAATGGATGGTTTGTTTGTTTGGGTTTTTTTCAATGCTGTGGTTGTGCCCAAATCCACAGAATCTCTCTGAATCTTAACCAGTTCACTGTCTCATTTTAAAGAAGTGGTAAATAACTGTTTCTTTTTATCAGTGGTGATTCCTCATAACAGATCTATTAGGAGCTGCCATTGTAAAGAGAGATTAGAGCAAACAATCCCTTTTTTCAGTCTGGGTGAAAATCCCAGTAGAGAGGTCAGTTTCATAATTTTTCATAGAT